TTTCCCCTGCCAGTAGCCTGCTGTCAGTGCCACCCGAGGTCAGGGCCCAGGGCCCTGGGCCCAGCGTCGCCGCAGTTCCGTAGGTCCTAGCGGTCACACTGCTGCCCTGCAGGGATGCGACTCGGCCTTGTGGAACCGGGCTCGCTGGGAACCTCGGCTGCCGCGCACACGGCTTGTCCTGAGAGGCTCAGCTTGTGTCCCCGCAGAAACCCACATGAACGTCATCAGCCCCTCGGACATGACGCACCTCAAGGAGGAAGTGCTGCAGAGCCGGCACGCCGAGCTCAAGGAGCGCCAGCGCCGCCTCCAGCAGGGCTTCGAGCGCCTGCGCAGAGTCAGCCACCAGGGCTACGGCACCGACAGCGGTCAGCCTCTGCGAGTGCGCGCGCACGCGCGCGCGCCCTGCCCATCTCCTATGCCCACCTGAGTGGCGGCCCCTGAGCGCACACTGCGGCCAGACTGCAGGGTGGGTGGGTCAGTGCACCTGCTGGTCACGCACACACACCGGTGGCAGGTGTGTGGGGTCAGGACTGCCCTGGGCGTGGGAGCTGCAGGCAGCCATGTGGCATCACAATGCCAAGCACCTTTGCTTGCCCCTGAGGTGCAGAGGGCGGTCCGTCCTTGGGGCTCAGTGAACGCGCTGGGGCTCTGCTTCAGGACACCCAGAGCCCCCACCGCAAACAGGCCCCCCAAGACTCGCCCCTCGCACGCACGCACGGGCCCGCACAGGCGTCCTCACGCAGGCCCCCACACGTACCCCCACCCCCCACAGAGTTTGAGGAGCCCCGAGTGATGGAGCTGTGGGACCTGGCCAAGGCCGCCAACTTCACGGAGAAGGAGCTGGAAGCCTTCCGGGTGAGCCGGCCTAGGGGTGGGGAGTGTGTGGGGACACACAAGCACGCGGGAGTGGGGAGCCCGAGCCCGCCCCCAGGACCTTGCAGCTGAACCCACCCGCTCGGCCCCGGCCCCGCCCGCCCCAGGAGGAGCTGCGGCACTTCGAGGTCAAGGTGGAGAAGCAGCAGCATTACCAAAAGCAGCTGGAGCTCTCGCACCAGAAGCTGCGCCACGTGGAGGGCGCGGGGGACCCCGAGCACCTGAGCCGCAGCCGCGAGAAGTATGCCATGCTGGAGGAGAAGGCCCGAGAGCTTGGCTACAAGGTGGGGCGGGCCCACGGGCCAACTGGGGGAGGGGCATGCGCGGTGCCCGAGGAGGGGCCCAGGAGCTGGTCTGGAAGCAGGACAGGGACTGGCCCGCCTCAGGCAGCCCAGGCAGCGGATCTACCCCTTCTCAGGCTGGATCCCTCCTCCCAACGCAAGCCTCTTTCCTTGGCCTTAGTTTCCCCTCCTTTTTGATGAGTGGACTATGCACCCCCATCCCAGGCTGCTCGGGGGACCTGGGAGAGAAGGGTCAGGGGTCAGGTGCTCCATCTGCCAGCAGTGGGGGGGCGGAGGGGGGGGGGCGGGCGACACAGTGGATTAAGTACACCCACGGGCCACTCCTGGGGAAGGATATGAAGCCTTCTCCCTTTGCGCTGACCGGTCACTTGGTCCGGCTGCGCCTCACAGATAGCCTGGCACTGCACACAGGGCAGGCCACACTGGACAGGGAGCAGATCTAGTGAAGGCCAGCCCCAGGCCATCTGTGTCGGGGGTGGGGGTGGTGTGAGGCTAGCTCCCACCCACCCCCTAGGAGAGCCAGGCCCCAGGGCAGGGAGGGGCCTGCCCACCAGGCCAGTCTCTCCTGGCCAAAGTCCCTGTTGCTCCTCCATTGTGTGCTCAGCGCTCATGGAGCCAAGGCCCAGCCAACTGAGAGCCACTCTCTGTTCCAGGTGAAGAAGCACCTGCAGGACCTGACTGGCCGAGTGTCCAGGGGCCGTCACAACGAGCTCTGAGCCCCACATGGTGGGGTACCCCAGCCCTAGAGTGGCCTCGGGAGTGGACTAGGGGCACTGGGTGACCCACGGGTCTTCACTGTGGTAGAAGGCCTCCTCTCTGGAGAGGACAGACCGTGGTGCGGAGGGGCACCCCCATCCTGAGAGCCTGCTGCTTGGGCGTGCACATGGAGCCCCAGAAATAAAGATGTCACACAACTCCCACCAGCTGCCTGGCCATCTTTCTGTCTGTCCGTGCAGTGGATGGAGCTTGTGGGTGGCCGCGTCCACCCCACCCCACCCATCACTGGGTGCTGTCCTCACTTGCTCCTGGGGGCCTCACCCTGGTCAGCTGCCTGGATCTGCGGGACCCAGGCAGGACTACCTCGCTTCTTCACAGCTGCTGTCACGGACACGGATCCGAAGCCCCAAAGACTGCAAACCCCTCCCCATTTTTTCATCGTTTCCTCCTGCAGCATTTGGGGGTTCGGCTCTTCAGACAGTCGTGGTCCAGACTGAAGGCGGCAGTCCTCGATCTTCAGCAAGCACTTAGTCCTCACTTTCAGCAAGCAGGGCTGTCAGCTGCCTGTCACAGGTTGTAGGCCTTCCTCCAATCCGGACACGGCACTATGGTTCATGTAGTCGAGCCTCTGATGATCTGCCCGGCACACAGATCGAATCAGGGTGGTGAGAGGGTACACCCTGCCACACACCTTTCCTGATTTTACCCCCTGCAGTATCCCCTTCTGCTACTCACACGACAGCCTCTCGGTCCGTGTACAAGCTCCTCATGAGCACAGCGAAGTCTTGTCAAGGCTATCTTAGTTTGTTGTGATCCACACCATTGAATGCCTTGGTGTAGTCAGTAAAGCACAAGGAATCATCTCTGGTATTCTCTGCTTCCAGCCAAGATCCATCTGACGTCAGCAATGATACTTCTTGTTCCACGTCTTCTTCTGAATCCAGGTTGGACCTCTAGCAGCTCCTGTTGAATGATCTTCAACAAAATTTTACTTGCATGTGATTATAATGTATATATACATATATACACACACACTCACATTAATTTCTACATTCTATTGGGTCACCTTTCTTTAAAACGGGCTCAGATATGGATGTCCTGGTGCTTCCGGTGCTTCATCGGCCCGTGGAAGCGCTCCTGTTGGTGGTCTGTCAGTGCCCGGAGCCTCCTTTCCACTGTCCCCTTCCCTGCAGCCTGGACTCTTCCTTCAGCGCCATCGGTCCCGGTCATACGCTCCCTTCTGCGCAGGTTGGAAGTCACCTGGTACTTGTAGGGTGCCTTCCTTCCTTGGCTGCTTCCTGCACCCTTCACTGGGGCAACTCAGAGCTTGCGTTCCCCATCTTTCCGCCTCAGCTCTGCCGCGCATGCCCTTCCCTGCCGGTTCCCTAACTCCGGGTCTCTGCACCCTCCATTACAGTGCTCTGTCCTCCCGGCTGCCCCGTGACCTCCCTGCTTGGCGACTTACACTCGTCCTTCCTAACATTCCCTTTAGTGACAGTCATCGAGGCGATTCCAGTCTCACCAGACGTCCCCATGGGTCTTGTATACGGCCCTTCGTGTTCGTGGGTGTGGTTCCTGATGGCGTCCCACAGCCCACCCAGTCTTCAGTCGTTACTGTTCAGTGTGTCCAATTTGTTCTTGAGATGTTTGTTCTCAAAAGTCAGCCAGTTGTACCCAAGTTCCCATTAGCACCGGAGAGGCATCAGCCTTGCACAGCCCCACCGGGCGGTCCCCAGCCACTCTCCTCTCTCCTAGGCCACCGTTTCCAACCATCGATTCGCCCTCTCTGTCTTCAACCTCACAGTCCAACTATCGGAGCATCTGGGCCACACGCTCCACCCAGCTCCGAAGGGAGAAGTTGGTAGGACCCTTCAGCTGAGGAGTCGGTGCCTAAACGTGCACGGTGGTTGTGTCGAATGGATGTCCTTGAGTGCAGGTAGATCTTCCAGTCTCCCCAGGCCTCCCACACGGAGGGGAGACCCCTACCCCTGAACCACCAGTGCACATCCTGTAGACAAGCCCCGGCCTCTTTAAAGATGGGTTCAGCATGGGCTCCTCGGTTGGGTGGCACGCTGTTTATATGCCCACACACATAAATCAACACCGTCACCTCTTTGGAAATGTCCCGGGAGAGAAAGACAAAAGGTTGGAGCGGTCAGCCGACCAGAGGAGAATGACCTTCGAGTGTTTTCCGGACATGTCCTGCCAGGTTCACACATGCTTCTGCCCCCCTCCCCAGCAGTTTGATTCTGACTCAGCAGTGCCATAGGACAGGAGAGTAAGAGACGGAGACCCTGGGGGAGAGGGGTGGGCACAGTGGCTGCAACGCCGGGCTCAAGCAGCACTGGCCGGGAAGGTGGTGCCATGTGTCAGGAGAAGGTGGTGCAGGCCCGGCCGTGCTGTGAGTGGGTTGCTAAGAGTCAGAAGTGACCAGACAGCTACAACAGTCTTAACAGGAACGGGCAGCCACATCTCCCTTGGAGTGGCTGGTGGGTTCCCAGGACCCAGCTGGCATTCAGCAGCCCTGCACCACCAACCCCTCCTGGAACGATGGGAATAAAGCTAGAAGGTGGTTTCATGCCAGACACTGGTGGGCAGCCCCTGGGCCCAGGATGATTCTGGCTCCGGGGCCAGAAGCTCAGCTTTAGGGTCTGGCCCCGGCCTCTCTCCAGGCCATACTCGGCCACTGGACACAATGTGACCCCAGTGCTCGGCCTCACCACCAGCAGCACAGCTTGGGTCCCAGCTGCATCGGGAGCAGGGGTGGCATTCCTGCCAGCTCCTGAGGGAACCCCAGAGCTTCGACCCCCATGGCCCAGACACTTCATCATTCGGGAACAGTACACCAAGGGGGCCTAGAGCAGATACCCCTGCGCTACCCCCACACAGCTCCCTGGGGCACTTACCCCTCCCATACCTGCCACCTGGAAATCTGGGGTGCGCCTGGGGGTGCTTCCTGGGGGCCGCTTCAGTCACCTCTGCCGGCAGTGGGTAAGCACCCTGGCCAGGGTGAACATGGCTCAGCCCAAAGCCCATACACACCCTCCCCTGCACCTCCTGGTCTCGGGAGCCTCTCCACAGCCACAGGAGGGTGGGAGGAGGCAGCAGGCAGGGAGGAGTGCATTTCTGGAGTCAACCAACCCAGAGGCCCCCAGCTGAGAGGACAAGGTGGGATTGCCAGACCCCTCTGTTCTCCACCCTAGGCCAGCAGCCAACTCAGGTGTCCTAGGGATGGAGGGAGAGGGAGGAGAGGTGGACTGATGGATGGAAGGATGACTGGACAGATGGAGGGGTGGGCAGATATGCAGATGGATCGTTAGAACTGCACTGATGGGTCAAAAGGATGGATGGGTGACCAGACGGACAGATGATCAGAATGATGACTAGATTGGATAGATAAGATTGGTGGGTGGGAGGATGGGCAAAGAGTAGAATAAGTGGGTGGGCAAATGGGCATTTGGACAGGTGTGTGAGTGATTGGGTGGATTAAGGCGAGGGAGAGGGTGATTCATGCATTGAGGCCACTAGGCACTGCCCCGTGCAGAGAAAGCAAGCAGTCACTCCTTCAGGAAAATAATGTGCATTTTAAAAAATAGACCATTAGAGATTTTGAACTATTTACATGGCTAACTGCCCTGGAAACCCAAACCTCAGCCAGGTGGGGCCTGGCCCGTCCCAGGGGGGGCCTTTCGGGGCTGGGCGGCAGCACCGGCACCCTCGGGAGTCCAGCCTTACCCAACGCAGTCTGCAGTCTCACC